GTGTCCAATGGTGAGACTCATTTCTTCTCTAAATCCAACAAACAACACAAAAACAAAAAATATATGTTCTTAGTGTTTGTTCAAGTACTAAAGAACTCAAACAAATTGCATAAGGAAATCTTGGTGAAATCTGCAAGTCGGCATTCTACTTCTCTAAGTCCATCTTTGCTTGATTTCAGAAACTTGTAGATTGGAGCAGCCTTGTCACCATTCACATCAACCTACATAACGATCATGCAAAGCTAGAAATCAAGTCCAAGAAGAGAACTAACATTTGGAAATGTTATACAAAAATGATTCACTAAACATATAACCATACTATAAAAACTTGCATAGCTCTCATATCATGTGTTAACATTAGCATTCGCATTCAGGAACGAGAAAAGTGATTACCTTGTCGAAGATCGGGTACTCCGCCTTGAAACGGGTACAAGCAAACGCAACAATCTCTTCATTCGAACCAGGCTCTTGGTTACCAAACTGATTACACGGGAATGCAAGAATCTCAAACCCTGGAAAAACATTGTGAACATTAACAAAACACAATCATAACTTAAAATGGTTCTTTCTACATTGAAAATTGAACAAACAAACAAACAACTGATAAAAAGAAACTATACCATGATTTTTGTACTTCTGATACAGCTGTGCAAGTTCGGTATAGTTCGAATTGGTCAAACCACTGCACGTAAAAACCAATACCAAAGAAACTAGTCACTAAGTGATTATTTCAGAGATTACAAATTAAGCAAGTGTGTTACAAAACTTGAAAATTTTACCACTGAGAAGCGACGGTCACAATCAAGAGAAGTTTCTCTTTGTAAGTGCTTAGATCAACATCACTTCCCTGCGCATCCTGCAACCAAAAAAAAAATACAAATTCGAAAAACAAATTTCAATTTTGATCAAAGAAACACAAAATTGAATTCAGGAAATCAGACCAAGAACAATTTCCCATCAATTTGAAAAACCTTTGTAATCCCAAGTTCCAGTCTAGTACAAATCAAGCATAACTAAACCAATAAATCGATCTCTAATTAGATATACAAAACAGACACGATCTGATTGAAGTAATCGATAAACAACACAAAGAAGCACATACTCTCTTTGCCGACAACATCAACATCAACAGCTTTTAATTTCTTTTTCATCATGTCCTTCCCTCTAAACCAAACCCATCAAAGAAAAACAATAAGAGAAGAATCAGACCAATCTGTTGCCCAAATTACTTAAAAAACGACTAAGTGATGATTGATTAGTATCGAATCATCTAGTCGGAAGAAGAAGGAGCTCCGACACCATGAGCAAATACGATTGCCGGCGATAATTTCTCCGGTGAAGATTGAATCTATGTTTCGTCATTCTTCTTTCTTCTTTTCTTCGCATCCATCGATCAATTTCTGAAACCTGTGAATCTCACACGGTC